GGGAGGGTGTCGCCGGCGCCGCGGAGCTGCTGCTCGGCGCGTTCTGCACGAAGATGGCGGCTCCCACCGTCAGCAAGGCAGCCTCGCTGGGCTGCAACAACAAGCCTGCGTTCCCGGAGCTGGATTTCAGGTCGGGAGCCCGGGTGGAGGAACTGAATAAACTCATCCAAGAATTCACCAAGCACGACCAGCGGGAATACGACGACCAGAGAGCGCTGGAGATCCACACCGCCAAGGATTTCATCTTTTCCATGCTGGGTGAGGAGGAAAAGGGGGAGGTGTGCTCGCGCGCGCGTGCGGTGGGAAGCGGCGTGGGGAGCCCGGTCCCCGTCCCCGGCGCTCTCCTTAGAGGTGCCTTCCCGGAGCCGGGCGCCCGAGGCATGACCCTGGCGTTCCGCCCCTTCCTTCTCTCTCCGCCGCAGCCCGAGCTGCGTCCCCTCCCCTCACAACTCCACTTGGCGCCGGGCGCCCCTTTTCTTCCCGGTTCGCTGGCTGCTTCGTGAATTTCCCAGCGCGGGGTGCTGGCGGGCAGGTGAGGGGTCGGTGGGAGACGCTCACTGTGGGGGGAGCCCCTGCAGCAGCGCCGTGCACGTGAGAGCCGGGACACCTTTCCTTGGAGGGGTCTGGGACCTGCCCCTTCCCGGCGCCGGCTCTGGGGTCCCCTCCCCAGCTTGGGGCGCTGTGGCTGGGCGCCTGAGCTACAAGTTGCTTCTCCGGTCCCGCGGCGCGGCGCTGTCACGCCGAGCCCCCGGGTGGCCAAACTTGTTGGGTGTTCCCGCGTAACCCGCCAAGTACTCTAGGAGCCCCGGAGTTCCTGCAACTTTGATTTGCAATTCGACTTCCCCTTTGAAGCTCTAGGAAGCATTTCCGGTGCTTCTCCAGCCTTGGGGCTGAGCTCGGAATTTCTAACGACCTGGCGCTGAGTTCTAGCCGCAGAGGAGCGCTGATCAGTGCCTGTCGGTGTATTGTCCCAGCGCTGACCGGGAGAGGGGTCCTCTGTCACCACCCAGTCCCTCACCTACGGGTCCTGATAGATTATTGAATGCGGTGCAAAGGAAAATAATCAAGCCCGGCCTGGGAAACCGATACCCGCCTCCCCACCCCGTGTCCTGTGCTGTCGTTGGGATTATTGCTACTGAGTTGTGGAATGAGTGTCCGCTGCGGGCAGCCGCCCCCGTGGAACCGCGGCTGTCATGCAGTAGGTGGCCTCGCCGCAGGACTGGGGCTCCAGTGTGGCGCTGCGCTGCCGCGCGTCTCCGTGTGTGCTCTACAAATATCCTCAGCCGGTTTTACGTGGAGTGGGAAACGTGATTGCAGAGGTCTTCCCATCACCGAGGAAGACAGAGCTTTTTTGCCCGCTCCCTGCGATCCACTTGGATTTCAGCCGGTTGGCTGTTGCTGGTTCTTTCCTTGAGCCACCTTATTCGCTCTAGGTTTTCTTGTCCGCGACAGCCTGAGTGGTGCGTGAAACGCATTGAACGTGGTCCAGTAACGGTTCGGGAAGTTGGAGGGAACGTGTTAAAACTTGGGGCTACACGCTCCCCTTTACCTGTTCCTACGCTCGCGGAGTGTATTCCAGATTGCGTGTGAGGTGGAAAAGATCTTTACTGAGATATTTGACAATTCACCTATTTAGATGCATTGTTGGTGCTGTTGAAAATCCACAACCGGGTGGAGCCAGGTTTCAGAGGGCGGCTTCAAACCCTCCCAAAGCTTCTACCTCTGAGAACCAACCCTGTGATTGTCTGGAGGGGAGGGACACTCACGCACAGCTCAGGGCTGTTATTTAAGTTGCTTAATCATGGCCTTTCTCTTTGGCATAAAGAACAGAAACCTACCATTGTGCTCTTACAGCCCTCTCACCAGTTTTCAAGCCTCTTGCCCTAGGTACTCGCTAGAACAAGGTAGCAGGGGTCACGTCACCACCAGTCAGGATAGCAACAGCTCAGAAGGTGGATGGGAGACCTGGGGGAGAGGGTAGGTTGAAGTGAGAGGTTATGGGGGACTCCTGTGCTAACCCTGCATCTGATACACTGAATTAGCCAAGCCTAGACCCAGATATAAAGAGTGAATTATTCCAGGGTGTTTAATGTACGCATGTGTTTCATGTATTGTGCTGACAGGTTAAACTAGATTTGCTTCTATATCTTTTTTACTCAGTTGACCTTGCAAGGGAAGCCTTTCTTTCCCCCCGGGGAATTTGGTATTTCCACCTGCAGGAGACAGTCATTGAAGCCCTTTGCCCCTCCAGACGCCGCAAGGCAGATGGCGAAATGAGCTTGCCTGTGTGTGGTGCTGCATTCATTTTCCAGTCCCCTTGCTCTCTCCCTTAATGAGGTGCCGGCTACTCCAGACAAGTGAAGGTTTGGTGACAGCAAGGGTCCCCATGCGGATTTACGTTTTGTAAAGCAGATTTTTGCTGGGCTTAAGAAACAAAACCTCTTTTTGTACACTTTGTTTCACTTACCACAGCCTTGGGTCTTTCATGAATATGGGAATGAGGTGTCTTAATGACCCCCAGCTTGTTAAGGTGCCGCCTGGGTGGCATCAGGCCCTCATTTCTGGGAGTTGTTGGGGGGGGCAGTTCTTTTGGCTTTGTTCTGCTTCTGTCGGGACTGCACCTGAGGATTGTCAGCAGCTTAAACGCATTCTGAGATGGCCAAGGAATTTGGTACAAGCCTCTTCAGTGGAGCTGTGGGGATGGTGATCAGCAAGCCAAGCCGCTCTTCAGATTGTTTGCCTGGAGTAAAGTCCCTCCAGCTCTGCAGAGCTTTTCATTTTGTTTTGTTTGGAGGCAGTTTTATAAAGAAGAGCCAAGGGGTGGTAGACAGTTGTCATAACCGATGACCTGTCAGGACCAAGACTCTCTACTGTCCTGTCAAAGCCAGGCTCTGTACGGGCTGCGGGGTTGGTCAGAGTGCGCTGATGGCCACGTTGGTCTCTGATCTGGCCTGATGTTCTTTCTCTTGCTTCTACAGAGATTCTGCTTCCTTTGGAGACAGGTGTTAGCTGGAATCACCCAGCCTCCTTATTTCTTTATACCTTGGTCTTTTAGGAGAATGATTGCTGTTATTATCTAGTTAATATTTGAGAGCCCAGCTTGTGTGAAAGGCTGGCGGTGCATAATAAACACCATTTATCAAAATTCAGAGAAATTGCCAGAGTTCATTAATGTTTTAATAATATTTGGTATTTGCATAATGTCTCTGCCGGCTCTTTTGTTATCTCCATTCCCTGGCGAGGGTGCGTGGAAGCTGGTTGTGTTTCTGTGGCGAGCTGGTTGTGTTTCTGTGTGTTTCTTGTGTTTCGTATGTGAAGCAAGGGTGTGGGGAAGCTGGGAGAAGGTGGAAAAGACACAGTCAGTTAAGCTACAGACCAAGTGGTGGACACAGTGGCGTGGCTGGGTCGCTACATTGGCGTGGTTGTTAGAATAGCTGTCTTTTGCAGGTCACCTTCTCAGGCCCAGGAACTTTACATAGCCTTTGAGAAGGTGCTACTTTCCCATCAGTCTGATGAGGTGACTGAAATTAGTGGGGTTAAGAGACAAAGAAGGTCACATGGCTAAGAAATGATAGAGATCTTACCAGGACATATTCCTCTTCCACTTGATACTGTTAAAAACAGATGCATGAAATATCTAGAGAAGGGGCTTTTTTTTTTTTTTTTTTTTTAAACTACTTTCAGGATTTTGTTTCTGATTTCATCTACAAGTATTAGCATAATACAAGCAGCAGCTGAAATGATTTCTGGAGCAGGCTGAGTTCAAGTATTTTGTTCCATAATAAATTTCCCGATTTGAATGTTTGATTGAGAAAATCATGGCCATTATAATAAAATGTTAAAATCTGTAGTTTCAGTCCCAGTCTGCCTCATGCTGGTTGTGGATTCCTAGTTTTTTTATTGAGCATGGATGACAGTAATGCGTCCTCTCAGAATTATGTCTGAAAGTGAAATTGCTTTGCTAACTGAAAAATAATGCATGTGATTTTATCATTTATGTAAAGAAATGTGCTTTATGAGACCATCTAGTGAACTTCAGCTGGAGTTATTCCTGCAGCTTGATTTCAGCAAGGGCTATGGCTTAACAGTTAACAGCAGGTTGGGAGGATATTGGCTTTTGCTGTAGGAGAGGATAATCAATTCCAACATGCACTGCCATTTGTTAAGGCCGTAATATGTGCTGACCATGATGTTGGCTTCTTTGCACAAATCCATTAGCTCCTGTAATTGTCCGACAACTTCATAAGTATCATCTGACCACTTTTGAAGATAAAGTAGGTGCCTTTTTAAAGGTGAAACCTGCAAGCTCAAGGAGGTCAGTTACTCATACCAAGCCCACCCAGAGCTTGGGTTTAGAACTGGGTTTTTAAAATGTATATTCCTTTTACTTTACCAGCCATCCATTTCTATCCCTCTTGGGTCTAACATTCAAAAGACACCACCTCCCCACCTCTGTGGGAATTGTCCCCTTTAGCCTGTGGGAGCCGGGCAGTTTCTGTCTGTGTGCTTCCATCTGTCCCCTTTTTTCCTGTCCTTCTTTCTTGCATGCACTCAGCAAACCCGTAATGAATGGCTTGGTGTTTGTCAAGCAGTATCTAGGATTCTGAGATAAAATAGCGAGCAAAAACATTGAGAAATTCTCAAGGATCCTTGGAGATCCCTAACCTTCGCTTCTGCACACTAACTCTAAGAGGCTAGTTTGCTAGCTTCCATCTTATCCCAGGCCAGTGAACACCACCTGGCTACTTCAAAGTTTTAAACTTGTGCGGTGTTTTGAAGGACTTCTTGGCCTACCATATCTGTAGGCTTTTTCTACATCTCCAGAGTAGGCCATTTTGAAGTCCGACTTTCTGGTGTTTGAATGCCCTTCTTTACCGAGTTCACCAAGTACTCTTGATGGTGAATTGTTGCTTTGCGAGCTGTCAATTCCTTGGTAAGTTCTTGTAACTTACCAATGTGCTGTTTCTAGATAAATCACAAGATCATCTCTGAAGTTTCTTCCTCCTCTGAAAACATCTAGGATAGTTGTGGGGAGATTCCTTCCTTGTTATTTTTGTGCTGATTTGCATTGGTTTCAGTTCTCCCTGCTGGATCTGGGCAGTTGCTGCCGTGCGTCCTTGAAGAGGAGCCAGCCCTGGTACTGCTAAGAGTTCTGGGTCTTCTCCCAAGTGCTTACCGTGCCATTGCTGGGTCATTCATTGCTTGTGAGTAGGCTGAATCCCTCTGGGACGCACAGACATACTAGATTCCCTCTTGTC